CGGCATGACGGGTATGTTGGAAGTGTCACATTGACTAGAGATAATGCCAATTTATAATATATAAGTGAGTGCAAACCTCACCTTACATGCCGCCTAGCGATGCATATATCTCAGCATGAGGGGGTGTGTTGGAAGTCTTACATCGATTATAGATAAAACCAATTTATAATATATAAGTGGGTACAAACCTCACCTTACAAAAGTCAGTTTTATGGGATTGGGTTAGGCTTAAAGTTCACTTCTTAACAATACTATATGAAGAATTAACAAGTAAAAATAAATAATGTTTGACATCCAAACTTTATTGATAAAATAAAAAAAAAGCTAAAGTTAAACTTTAAAAGTTTTATCTATTATTTTTTACTCTTGTCTAACTCTAATTTTTTATTTTATTATTTTGTATTTTTACTTGAATCATTCATTATTTGTGCTGTCAAATCGGGTCACCTGTCCTAATTCGGTCTGACCCACCATGGATTTGTCACTTAGTGAGTCAACCCAACCCAACTCTTTATTAGCGAGTCAAAACAATTCAAATATGTCTCAGCTCACATGGATTGGTAGGTTCAATATATTGACACACTTAATTACATGATTGTTTTCAATTTAAAAAAAATAACAATTTTTTTTTCTAATTCAAATGTAAATAAATTTAAATCCAAAATGATGTTAAACTCAAAAAACAATTCAAAATTAAAAAAAAATATATAACACAATTCAAAATCATCTTAAACTAAAAGTACAATCCAAAAGTAAACACAAAAAGTAGAATTAAGTGGGTCGGTGAGTTAACTCTGCTCACTAAAGATTCGATCTGAGTGAGTTAGGTTCTGAGCGGATCAGACTTAAAATTGACCCAATCAAAATTTTAATTTTTTTCAATCCGAATCGACTCGAACTCATGATAGACCAAATTGACTCACAAGTTTCATTTTAACCATACTAGTTAATATAACAAAGCCAAAACATTTTTTAAAAAAGAATAAAAATAAAAATAAAACCTACAATTAAAGTCCAAAACCTTTATGAAAATAAATAAAAAAAATTAATAGTATTTTTTAACAAATCAATAAAAAAAAAAATCTTTTTACACAAATACACACGTGCAACCCAAGTATAATATGATGGAACATATAGTTCTCACAAAGACTATGATAAAACAAAACACACTTAAAGACAACCTTTCACAAACACATACTCACAAATAACAAAATATATTCACGTTCACAAAAATCTCATTTTAAAACCATACTCTTAAATAATAATGTAATTTTATAAAATCTAATTCTTACCCTTTTTAACAACAAATTGAAAATAGTCGGCAGATCATCTTCTGTCTTTTTTGTTTCTTTTCTTCCTTAAACATAAAATAAAATATTATTATAAAACATTAGGTGTTTTTAAATGCATTTGTAATCAATTATGATAGTGACTTAGCTCTAATCCATTATAAATATATTTTTTTTTATCATTTTTCTCTTACGATAATAAATAATATGAAAAGTAATAAAACAATAATGTAGTAAATAAGATGGTCTAACTTTTTACTTATGTTGATAATTTTTTTTTATTTTATCTAAACAATTTTATTTTTTTACCTTCATTTTTTATTAGTGAGTAATGGAAGAGGAGAAAAGAGTGTGGTAGGCATTTGGGTTTCTTGTTTTGGAGAGGGATGAGTGGTGTGAGTCAGAATGGGTGACATCTCTTTTTTTGTGTGAAATGTGAAATCATGGGATGATGTTGAGTGAAAACCACTCCTCCAGCTTTTCTCCAGCTGTCAGCAATCAACGTCTTCCCATTAATATCAATGTCACCATCCTACCATTCCATTCTTCAAATTCTTTTCAAATATTCAACTTAATTTTGTTTCTCATAATATCAATTAAGTTAATTTGAAAAAATAATTATTTTAAATATTATATTCTATATTTTATATAAAGAAGATTTGTTTTTAAGTAATATTTTTTAAATTAAAATAATTATTTTATTAATTTTATTTTTTAAATAATTGTTTTTTATGAATTTAACCGTTTACTTCTATATGACTTTTTCTAAAATTTAACTATTTTTTAATTATAAAACTAAAAACTAAAAATTATTTTATAAAATTATTTATATTTAATTTTATATAATAATAGTAATACATTATTTTCATTAATTATATATAAAGAATATTATTTTTGATAATTGTTTCGCTTTTCGACGTAATTAGGGATAATTCAAATGATCAATTTGTTATTCTTAACCCAGTAAAGTGTTTTAAAACAAGTTTATGTGTCAGATTGAGTACCAATTCGATTAATGATCAATTCCTTGATTTTTTAAATTCAACATTAATTCAATCAAAACAAGCATACTTCATATAGCAAACACCACAACAACTTAGTAAACTAAAATGACCAATTTCAGCAATACAAGTAGCTACCCGAATCCTAAATTGTACAAACTCTTACCACTAACATCAACTTCATTCAAAAATTAATCCCTATAGAATTTCACCTGTCATAACTTGAATTCTAGACAATTTCTAACATCACACCTTCATATTTATCTAACAGAATTTCAGTGCAATATTCAGGTAACCAAGACTTCAATTTCATCAATTCCAAACAAACAAACACAGGCTTACTTTCAATCATCAGTTCCAACAGAAAAATCCATACAACATACTACTAATTATAGACTAAAACAAACGTCTCAAACAACACATTATCATAAACTCAAAATAGATTTTAACGTGCTTCATTAAACTAAAACAGTAATTTCAATCAATCACAGACCATCAAACATGCATATATAATTATAAGGTTTAATCATTATGATAGTCCCTATTTATGTTGGATTTTCTCAAATATGTCCTTTTATTATTTTTTTCTCAATTGGGTCTCTAGAAGTAAAAAATCAGTGCAATTGGGTCCTTGTCGTTAAATTTGGTTAATGAGTTAAAATTAAGGTGATTTGTCATTGTGAGGTGGAATCATTAAGTTGAGTTATCATCCCATTCTGCCATGTCATCATCTTCAACCTTTTCCCAAATAAAAAATCATAGCAGTCCATGGCAGCCACCGAAAAATGCCACCACTAGCCTTCATGCGCCGCCACACAACCACCACCATCGCAAAACCCGCAAAGCATTAGTAGAACCACCATGGCCAGTCAACGTCCATGCGCCATCACCGCGAACCAAGTTCATTTTCTCTTCATCCTCGCGCCAAAAAGCAACCCAAACCGCAAGCACCACGAGAGCTCTACAACGAGTCTGAACCTACTAAAATTCAGAAATATTCCCAATTCAGGAACATTAAAATTGCGCCACCATTGGGCGAGTTCTCTTCTCCCTTCTCGCACAAATCCCAAATTCCAGACATGTAGAAACCAACTCAACCTCCTTCATTCCAGATACTCAGAAGCATCCAAAAGGCAAAAGCACCTAAATCGCAAAACTCCTTCGTATTCATCATACATATAGCACAATCTTCATCGCACAAAAGCCTTAGCTCTTCATCTTCTTCAAATGCGCATCGTGAGTTGCTCCTTCTTCAGCCACCACGAAGTCGCCGTTACGCCTTCATCTCGAACCAAAACCTGCAAGGAAAGCTAAACACAAAACCAACCAAAACCCCTTTGAATTGTGCCACCATCGCGGTTCCAAACCCAATCGCAAACATGCGAAATCAATCCCCTTCATTGCGAGCTTTATCTTCTTCCTTGAGCATCAAGCCTGCAAAAAGAAACCAAACAATTGAAACAGAATTGTAGGAACCCTAAAATCACTACAGTTTGTAATTTAGGGAAAGGTTGAAGATGATGAACCTAATTTCATTTTCATGAACTTTAATTTCGTGATCCTTTAAATTCAATTCTCAAAAACCATTTTTTAATTACACATATTCCATGTAACCTGTTCTGAATGTGCCACGTTAATTAATGATTCCACATCACATTGACAACTCAGCTTAATTTTAACTCCGCTAACCCAATTTAGCTATGGGGACCCAATTGCACTAATTTTGCACTTTTAGGGACCCAATTGAGAAAGAAAAATAATAAAGGGACCTATTTGAGAAAATCCAACATAAATAGGGACTATCATAATTATTAAACGTAATTATAGTCATATTAGAGCTTAAGAATAATTGTATTTAGCTTCCCTTACCTTATAGAAAGCCTAAAAACAACCCATAAGCACAAGAAATCCTATATGTTCCTACGAACTGCAGAAACACGATCAGGATATACTGTTAGGACCACTGATCAACAAAGAGTGTTATAGAAGACTCAAATGTCACATGCATCCATAATAGACTCACATGTAAAGGAAGACAAAACAGACCAGAAAGAGGAGAAAAAACAAAGTCACTCTATCTAAGAAACTAATTGGTCCAAATTGAAGAATTATCCGCCGTTAGAATCAATGCTACAATCTCAATTCTTCAATTAGACAAAAAGAAGATAAAACTCCTAGAAAAAAAATCAGATAAGTTTAGAAAAATGGTTTCAAGAAAGAGAATATTTTAAAATTACGAAACTCGTTCATCAATTTATATTAAATTCATTTAATATAAAATTAATCGAGTTTTACTGTTTCTAAACTATTACCACTTTTAAAATATAGGTTTTTACAGTTTTATTTTTAATTTTCTTGTAAATACAAAAATTAATTCCGTTAATAATTAAAATATTCCTAAAAATATATTGTTAAGTGATATTAGTGTAAAATAATTTTTAAAAAAATATATATATAATTTGACTCACATAAATTTTTTATATTTATTTAACATTATCTTTTATTATTTTTTGTTTTTTTTCTAAAGATAAAAATTCATTTTTATATAACTATTTTAAAATAAATATAAATTTGTGTCAGTGTTCCTCTCTCTTATTCTTTCTGAAAAGAACGTGAGATATTCATGCTAGATATCTTGGTCATTTGGTAATTTCACTGAAAATATTCCATTGCTGCTTTTTCTTTCCTCTATATAATGCTATAGTAATGCGTGAACTATAAAGTGCATTACCAGTCACTGGGCTCTCCCTTCATAGAGATTAGAAGTGCAAATTTCAAACCCCTTTTCGTTCAGATTCTGAGTCTGCTATGGCGTCACGCGCATTTCTTATCTTGGGGATGCTTCTTCTGGTGTGTCTTGTTAAGGTACACCAACACGTCACTGTAACAGTGTTATCTCACAGTAATTGATGAGTAAAAGAATAGTTCCAAAAATATCATGCATGGTTTAGTTTATCAGCTTCTGTCAGTTGAGAATGATTTTATTTGCATTTATCTTGACTTTTCATCTTCTGGGTTTCTCATGAAGGTTTCATCTGATCCGAAGATAGAAGAAGAAACACTAGAAGAAGAACTGCTGTTTCCCAATGAACCAGTATGCTTTATATAATAAACTATATTTAGTATTCTTCAGCTTTTAACACATATTTTTCCCTTATAAATATGTCTTTTTATATTAATCATCATATTTGACAAAAAGGGTGTATCAAAGTCTACTTTTAAGGATAAAAAATTCAATTTTTAGTGATAAAAAAATATGAAGTAAAAGTCTCGTTCCATTACTTGTTGTTTGAATTTTCTGCAGCTTGTCGTGAAAGACGGGAACAGAAGGCTAATGCAAGAAATAGGTAATTAATCTGATTCAATAACAAAAATACTGGTAGTTGGGTTTTGTAGATACCCTTTAAATGGTGAAGCCATGAGCAATAATGGAAAGAGAGAAAAGAAAAATGAAGTTTCATGGTGTTATTGGCTCACTTTTCAGATTGTGGTGGGTTATGCAAATCAAGGTGCAGTGCTCATTCAAGGCCAAACGTGTGTAATAGGGCATGTGGCACGTGCTGTGTGAGGTGCAAGTGTGTCCCACCTGGTACCTCTGGAAATAGGGAACTATGTGGAACTTGCTACACTGGCATGACCACCCATGGCAACAAGACTAAGTGCCCTTAGACAACCAAATCTCATTGTCATTTTCTTCATTCATTATGCACTGTACTGCTATGTGGGTGCATCTCTGTTTTCTAGGGCAATCAATGTGTCTGCACTTCCTTGGCTCTATTATTAGACTACTATAAATGTTTTCTTTAGAGGGTCTGTTCTGGTTTGTGTGCCTGCATGATTACTGTGATGGGTCATGTAGACTTTCTACCTTTGTTCTGATTAATATAAAGAGAGTCATTACCATTTCCATTTCATAGCTACTGTACAAGAGACTTGATTTTCTTGAGTTTTACATATTTTGGAAAAGATTTAGAAAACTATGCAAAATAATGTAATAATCGTTGCTGAAATCTGCTTAACGGAAATGGGACCAAACAGCGCAAAAGAATAATGTTATGGACCACTCCTTTTGGCAAACTCTAACTATGACCATAGATTCCTATTTTGTTCATTTTGGTGAGTACAATTTCAATACCTTGTTTTGTGGTCCTTAATTTCTTGGCACCAGCTCAACACCGATTATGACGTTTATTTTCGTACTGCTGTTGCTTCTTTCTGATGGGGAAACAGATCATAATTTGTTAACATTCTTATGACCAATCACTGATCAACAATATATATATATATATATATATATATATATATATATATATATATATATATATATATATATATATATATATATATATATATATATATATATATATATATATATATATATACTTTTGAGTAATGGAATAGGCAACGAACAAAACTTTGGCAAAACCTTTTGAATTTTTAACCATACTCTCATAATTTCTTTTCACAACGTGAACAAAAGGAGAACATTTTCAGAAGTAGGCCAATTATGACAAAGTTCATAAGCCAATCCTTATACCATAAAAATAAATTCCAAAGTAATAATTCTTTAACCCTCACACAAGTTTTATATTCATTTGATACAATTCATTACTTATTTTTTACAAATATAAAAGTTCATTTTTATAACTATTTTACTCTTACAATATATATTAATATGAATATCAATGTGTTATCATATCATTAATAAGCATTAAACACATTTATTTTATGGTATAATTAAATATTAAATAACATAACATTGTTATGTATAGTGACAAAATAACATGAAAGAAAAACTAATAAAGACTAAATTAGTTATGACTACATTGGTTGAGTTTAAACAAAAAGATTTTGAGTTGTTAAATCCAAATATCTTAAAGAGTAAATGTATTGACAAAAATATCGAGATACATTTATCTAAGAACATATATTGCGTCACAAGGAATAATTTATAATGATTTGTCAAAAGTAAACCTAATAATGCCATTTGTTAAACCTAATTTCCTTTGGTATAGTCGTAATCTTATCCGAGTGTTATTTTTCTCTGTAATTTTTGACCCATTCTTGCAGTTAAGCAAATCAACATTCCAAAGTGTTATATTTCTGTTGCTTCATATAGAACATGAGAAATTGTGCCTGTGTGGGGTTGTTAAGGAGTCTACAAGGGATACAGAGTAATCCTGGGGATGAGAGTTTGGTGGTGAGTTGGTGCTAACTAGCAGAGATAAAAAAATAAAGTGAAGATACTAAAACAGATGGGAGTCCAGAGAAAAATATAAGCCCAGTTATGAAGGTTTTGATGACGGATATGGATAAATATAATTGATTCTACTGGCAGAGATAAGGGAATCTCCAACAGTAAAACACTATCTTCCACCCTCAGTGTGTACATATACATGTATGTATGTTTAGACAAAATAAACTTCTCAATTTGTCCCCGCCAAGTCTGTTGTGATAACTGATAAGTACACCAGAGCACAGATGCTGGTGTCATGTAACTTGTACAATCTTGATCAGTCTGCTAAGACTTAATGGGGAGTACAGGGTAAATACAAATATATTTTATTTACACTACTATTTCTATGCCAGATGCATTGCAGAAAAATTTGAAAACGTTAATCAATTGCATATGCTGACAGACAGAAAATGTTGCGAGACTAATCTATGTTGGCTTCTTTTTGTAAATGAGATCATATAAAACCCTGCTTCAGAGGATGACGACCAAATTTGGAAACAAATCGCATAAAGAGCAATTTGGAATCTGATATTAAGGAAATTTACATCTTGCAAGCATTGCTGTCTTTGCATAATTCACCCTACAAAGAAAAAATAATAGATAAACACTTAGTCAAAAAGCTTTATATATCAAGCATATGAAAGTTATAACAGAAAAAACATGGGTCCAGAACAAATACTTAAAAGTCAAATTATTCATGAGCTTTTTGACATTCACAATCATATATACCATATCTTAGTGTTTTCTCCACTAGGTTATGAATTAAGTGCTATTTTGTTTATTGTAACAGGCAAAGGCACAATTTTTCTTTAATTTTTGCAGCTTAATTTCAGGTATGATTTAAATAAAAGGGATGCAGACTACTGATAAAGGCAATGGATCATAAATTCAATCAGAATCATCACATGTATATGATGGCAAAAAATATCATTCTTTCAAAATTTATACTGTTCTCTAACTTCAAAATTTCTTTGCTTACAAAATTTTCTTGCCATCTTGATTTTTTATGTTTTATTCTGCAGACATGTTCCGTGCTGAATTTAATATGATACTTTTTGTGTTGAGTCTATCTACCTTCTTCTTTCGAGCTTCTAATATTTCTTCTATAGGCTGCCGTCCTGGAAACCAAAAAATGGAAAAAAAGGGGTGGAAATTATTACCAAATAAATAGTTAGAAATGAATAATGCAACTAAAAGTGATAGTCTTTACTCATTGATGGACTGATTAAGCCATCAAATGTTAAATGAGAGGATAGCCTTTCACAATAATTCTAAGCTTCCGAGGCTTATAATATGACCATATTATTCCAACTAAATAAAGACTCACAAGTACATCAGCTCATGCCCAACTAAAGTCAAAACCTATATAAGGTGTTAGAAGTAGCCACAGAACAATGTGATGGGCTAATAATCAGAATGAGGAAGTCAGCCTAGTCCTGAATAGTGACTATAAAACCTGGAAGGTCTATCAAAGGAGGAAGAAAGCCCAACCTTGATAAATGCTAATTAATTAGGAGGTGGTTTCTAATATGCCACTCATAGGATGGAACCTGGAGAAAGGACAATGACAAGGGAGTGCATGGGGAGTGAGGGACAAGGGCAATGTGGTGTTTGTTGAAACAAACGTGACTGAGAAGTGTGGTGTCTAAGTGATTGAAGTCATGTGCATTTCTGGTTTTATTTTAATCCGTTTCACTACAACTTTGTTTTAGGTGTGTCATTGAGTACTTCTCTGAATAATAAAACAATACCTTTTTCCTTTCATTTTGTGTGTTTGATTTGAGTCTATCACATTAGCAATATAACTGAAAGGAATATTTTGGTGTAAAATTATTAATGTGCATCTATTTTACCTGTAACTTGAAGTCGGTATTTAGCCCAGACACCATATACAGAATCAGCAATTTTAGCAATCTGCAAATGTTTTTTCCTCCATTAATAACATAATATATAAAGATATAAGCTATCTTATTCTTCAGTAAGCAGTAGTGAAGGGATTTGTCCATGCTAGATGAACAAGATAACAAGTCCTTCAAAACTATGAAAGGAAGCCTTACTGGTTCATATTTTGTAATTGCATAAACCCAACCAAGACCAACATGTTCATATAATCTCCTAAACGCCTGCAGAATTCCCGTCATAGTTAAACACAAGCGTGTATAAATATATAAATCTTTATTGCACAGGAAAGTAAGTAACAAATTTCACTCAACAAAAACAGATTCACATTTCACTATTATATATCCCTTGATAGTCCTCTGCAATCTTGGATGTATTTTTCTTATTGAATGAGGTAACTAATCAATCATTCGTGTTACAAAGATTTTATATTACAGCAGCAGGGTGTATTTATCTTGAAACTGGATATTGATATTTATGTCATACTGGTATTACACTAAAATGCACATGGACAATGAATGGTGAGAGTCATTCAATAGTCAATAGTAATATTCTAACTTCTGGATTCTTCCAATTCCATAAAAATTTCTAAACTTAGACTCATGTGAATGTTCAAAAGCACTTGCATTCCAAAGCAAGTGTGAAGTAGGATTACGGAGAAGTTTCTCCAAGGCTGGAAATGAAGATTAGGAAAGAAGCCACACCTCAACATCTGTAACCACAGTTCCATCTGAGAGAATAGCATGAATTCTTCCCATAGCCTAAAAAGTAGAAACAAACAGTCATTGTATTGTATCTCGACGCAACTGCAAGAGATGCTTGAAACCTCACATATCTATGCACTACATAACATCTATCAATTAGCACATGTGAAAACAAATATCTTAGAATAATAAGAATCTTCAAAAAAAAAAAATAACCAATTTGTTTGGACGTTTCAACAATTCAATGAATGAATCAAAGGCAAAGTAAGTGTACTGCAAAGCCCAAAACCAAATATAATATCAAGTCTGCAAGTAAAGTTTACACTCCATCATAGACCAGTTTGTTGACTTTTGTAATAGCTAAATACAATTTATGATTGATTGTGAGGGTAAAAACTTTTCCACTCTTGTTATTTTTTTAACTAAATACAATTTAAGATTAAAATAAGTTAACAAAAACATAGGAAAAAAGGGGAAGTGATTATTGGCATAGTACAGAACGTAGAGCAAAGACTAACGGTTTCGTAGTCAATGTTTTGATTCTCGTCGGGAGAGTATTCATCAGAACCAATATCAACAAACTTGATTGTGCCATAACTCTTATTTCTCTCTCTTAGCATATTCACCTGATCATAACAACATGCAAAACAGTACTCTATCAATGCCAAAACTCAAAGAAACGAATTACCAGCATCAAACAATATGATTTGAACAAATAAAGGAGAACCTCGCGCATGCAGAGGGGACAATCTCCATCATAGAGCATTTTAATTTTCCAATCTTTTGGTGAATCATTTTTTTGCTTCTTAGAAATTTCAGGTTCCACAGTTGTCTCGCTGATGACTCGAATGTAGTGGTGAGGCCGCGTGGGAAGAGCGTTGGGGCGTGGATTAAGAGAAGGTGAGTTGTGGAATTTGAGAGTGCAGTTCAAATATGGAAGTGAAATGAACGTTGGGTTTTTGGGCATTGAATTGCGTGAAACAGAAACAGCAGTTGCGACTCTCAAAGGGAGAGCCATTGTTGCTTTTGTTTTGTGGTCGTGTTGTTGAAAGAAAGAAGGCAGAGGAAGGGTTGA